GCCTCCTGGGTTCAAGCGATTCTCCTGCCTCAGCCTCCCAAGTAGCTCCCAATAGCTGGGATTACAGTCATATGCCACCACGCCTGGCTAGTTTTGTATTTTTAGTAGAGACGGGGTTTCTCCATGTTGGCCAGGCTGGTCTCAAACTCCTGACCTCGGGTGATCCGCCCACCTCTGCCTCCCAAAGTGCTGGGATTACAGGCATGAGCCACTGCGCCCGGCCGACTCTGTCTTAAAAAAAAAAAGAATGGTTGAACGACAGGAGTATGGTTAGGGTAGTACTGTACTGTAAATTAGTGGTTTTAATTGATTGTTAGAGGGGTGTGGCCTAAATTCAGAAGATGTGGCCATCAAAAACATCTAGAAGAGATTGACCAGGTTGGGGAAGTAAGGGAATGAATGTGGGGATGGGGGAGTGTCTAAAATCTTACTGAGCATAGAAGGGGCCTGGCTTACAATGTAGGAGAAAATGTACTAACAGAGGAGGCCTGGCTTGTGGCTGTGTCCTGGAATCTGATTGGCTCAGGAGCTTGGGCAAGGCACATGGTCCTCTAATACTAATTGAATGGTAGAGGGCAAGATTGTTGTAGATACTAGGCCCCTAGGAAAGGCTACCGGGGGTGTAGCTAGATTAACTCCGTTACAATAGAGATTGGGCCTGATTGGCTCTTGAGGCAAGGGCAGGGGCGTGGCTTAGCGACAGGCGTTCTAGGCCCGTATCCCGGGGGTGGGGGTAGTTTGGCAGAGACCCTAGAGTCCGGCTTGATTGGCTAATATGGATGAGGGGTGGCCTAGAACTTTAGCGTCTAGAAAGATCCTGAACCGGGAAGTCACGCCTCCAAGCCCCCCCTGTTGGTTGGGCCCGGGGGCGCTGCTGACGCAGACCCTGCCTCTTCCACCCTACAGCTGGCCTCGGACCCCGTCCTGCGCAGCAAGCTGGTGCGCCTGTCCTCCGGCTCTTTCGCCCGCCTGGTGGAGCTGTTCTGTAGCCGGGAGGACAACTCTCACCCAAGCCGAGCATGCCCTGGGCCGCCGCCTCCTTCCCCGGAGCCCCTGGCCCGCCTGGCCCTGGCCATGGAGCTGAGCCGGCGCGTGGCCGGGCTGGGGGGCACCCTGGCCGGACTCAGCGTGGAGCACGTGCACAGCTTCACGCCCTGGATCCAGGCCCACGGGGGCTGGGTGAGCCGTTGAAGCCTTTCTCTGCGGGCCTCGTTTTACCCAACTGTCTTGTGATAGAGGTTCTTAGGTTCCCCTCAGACCTCAGGTATTCTCCCAGCTCCACTGTGTTCGTTCTGTGTTGAGCCCTTGCTGTATGCCAGGACTGCAGTGATGAGTGCGGATGCTATGCCTGGCGTCAGCGACTGGGTACACTAATACTGTGAGTGTGAAACCAGTGACTGAGATTACCTAGGGAGAGGCCGGGCGAGGTGGCTCATGCCTGTAATCCCAGAACTTTTGGAGGCCGAGGCAGGAGAATCATTTGAGGCCAGGAGTTCAAGACCAGCCTGGACAACATAGTAAGACCCCATCTCTACAAAAATTGAAAGTAATTAGCCAGGGTCAGGTGTGGTGGCTCACGCCTGTATTCCCAGCACTTTGGGAGGCTGAAGCAGGTGGATCACCTGAGGTCAGGAGTTTGAGACCAGCCTGGCCAGTGTGGTGAAACCCCGTCTCTACTAAAAAAGTACATAAATTAGCCCGGCTTTGTGGCAGGTCTCTGTAATCCCAGCTACTCGGGAGATTGAGGCATGAGAATCGCTTGAACCTGGGAGGCAGAGATTGCAGTGAGCTGAGATCGCGCCACTGCACTCCAGCCTGGGTGACAGAGTGAGACTGTGTCTCAACAAAATAATAAAAACGGGGTGTGGTGGCTCACGCCTGTAATCCCAGCACTTTGGGAGGCTGAGGTGGGTGGATCACTCGAGGTCAGGAATTTGAGAGCAGCCTGACCATGGTGACAGTCTGTACTACCAATACAAAATTGGCCAGGCGTGCTGGTGCATACCTGTAATCCCAGCGACTTGGGAGGCTGAGGCAGGAGAATTGCTTGAACCTGGGAGGCAGAGGTGGTAGTGAGCCAAGATTGCGCCATTGCACTCCAGCCTGGGCAACTCTCTCTCAACTCTTGAGACAGAGCGGAACTCTGTCTCAAAAAATAAATAAAAATTTAAAAAATTAATAATAAATTAGCAAGGTGTGGGAGCTCACACATTTACTCCCAGCTACTCAGGAGACAGAGGAGCCAGGAGGATCACTTGAGCCCAGGAGTTCAAGGTTGTGGTGAGCTATGATTGCGCCACTGTACTCTAGTGTGGATGACAGAGTGAGACCCTGCCTCAAAAAATAAAGTAGGGAGAGTAGTCATGCTACCTCAGAGGGTCACTCTGAGGGTTAAAATGGGGTCAATCTGGTAAGCTGTCTGTGCACTGCCTGGCATGCGGGCATTTGTTGATGTGGTTATATGTGTCTACTCGCTGCCGTTCCAACAACACCTGCCAGGATGCCCTCCCGGGGAAGCCCCGCCTCCGTCCTCTGCCCCTTCTGGTGGGGTCTGGTTTCACCCCCAACAAGGCCTTCCCAGGTCCCCATTGACAATCACAGCCACCTCTACACCCCCCCACCACCCTCCTTCCCGCTTCCTGCTCTACTTTTCCTTCCATAGCAATTTGCGCCTTCTAACAGCTGGTGGAATTGACTTGTTTTGCTTATCTTCTGGTTTATTTTTCTTTCCTGGCATCTCCTGCCTCTAACACATCAGCTTCAGAAGACCCAAAAGTCTTCCCCACTCTTACTTTATCTCCAGTGCCGGTTTCAGAGTTGGATTGGGCTCCAGCATACTGGCCCTGTGACTTGGTGACTGTTGCAGTCTCCCTGAGCGACACTTTCCCCCCTGGTCCAGTGAGCACCGTCTCATTTACCTGCCTCGGGGGTCGCTGTGGGTATTCACCGAGAGAGGGACACAAGCCAGGCTCTGGATGGAACCGGTTTCCCTGGCAGGAGCTGGTCAAGTGTGTTTGAGGAGCAGGGAGGAGGAGGCCAGTAGGGCTGGAGCAGGGTGAGTGGGCGAGAGCTGAGAGGAGGAGAGGCGCTGGGCCAGCCGGGACCCTGTGGTCACGGTGAGTGACAACTGGGACTTTGACTCTGGGTAAGCCAAGGACTCTGAGCAGCGTAGACAGTCGCTGATTTAGGCGTTAACGGGTGCCCTCTGGCGGCCGACTGGGGACAGACTGCGATCAGACCCAAGTCAGGGGCAGTGGAGCATGCTGGATTTAACTTAGCAGTGGAGCAGACAGATTTGGCTAATGGGCCAGATGTGGGGACAGGCCAAAGGATGCTGGCCTAAGCAGCTGCAGGGGGACATCTAAGTTCCCTGAGAAGATGGGGGATGGATGGGGGCTACGGGGGTGGGGACAGGGGCGATGTGGGTGAGGAGCAGGACTGGAGATGGTCCAGTCTACAGTAAGATCAGAACTCATCGCACATGTTGAGGGGACTGGATATAAGTGTTGGGCTCAGCAAAGAAGCTCATTTATTTTATTTCATTTTTTGAGACGGAGTCTCACTCTGTTGCCCAGACTGGAATGCAGTGGCACGACCTTGGCTCACTGTAACCTCCGCCTCCCGGGTTCAAGTGATTCTCCTGCCTCAGCCTCCTGAGTAGCTGGGGTTACAGGCGCACACCACCATGTCCAGCTAATTTTGTAGTTTTAGCACAGATGGGGTTTTGCCATGTTGGCCAGGCTGGTCTCGAACTCTTGGCCTCAAGTGATCCACCTGCCTCGGCCTCCCAAAGTGCTGGAATTACAGGCATGAGCTACCACGCCTGGACAATTTCTTTAAAAAAATTTTTAATAGGATCGATAGCAGGCAAGCTTTCTTGGTGGGCCAGGTCCTCTGCCAGGGATTTCAATGGAATCATCCCATTTAAACCCACTACAACCTCATGGGGCTCTTACTATCCTCATCTTGTGGGGGTGGAGAGGGAAAGTCCCCAGCGTGCAGCGTGTTGGAATCTGGATTTGTACACGAAACCACCGCTCTGAATTGTTCAAATCCCAAGACTCTTCCCCTTCTCTGACTCTGTCCCTCGACTCTTCACTCTCTCTGGGTCTCTGCCTAACCCCACTCCAGTGCCTTTCCTCCTCCTGCTAGGACTCTGTCCCCCTCGTCCCTGTGCCCTTCTCTGGGTGTCTGTCACTCTCTTCTCTCTGGTTCCTCGCCTTCCTGTCTCTGATCTCACAGGGCTGATGTGGACGCTGCTGTAGCGGGGGAATACCTGCCCTGCTCACAGGGCTCTGCCACTTTTCCCTTCCAGGAGGGCATCCTGGCCGCCTCACCCGTGGACTTGAACTTGCCATTGGACTGAGCTCTTTCTCAGAAGCTGCTACAAGATGACACCTCATGTCCCTGCCCTCTTCGTGTGCTTTTCCAAACCTGCCTTTTCAGCTCAGGGCTGTGGGGTGGTGGTCGCCCTACCTGTTTTTGCCAAAAATAAATTGTTTAAAACTTTTTGTATTAAAAATGTTACAAAGTGTTCAACTGTCTGTTCTTACACTCCAGAACTGAAGTTCTAAGTAGAGGAGATTTAGTTCAGAGATTTCTGTGGCTTACACAAATTAAGGAAGGAACCAGTTCATTCTAGAAATATTTATTTGGAGCACCTACAAGAACCTGTCTCCTGGACATGTAACATATTTGAGAGAATATCTGTAAATAGTCCAGCAACTTGCTTTTTTTTTTTTTCCTGTTGCACAATCTGGTTATTCTACCTAATACTGTATGATGGTCATGGAGTCTTTCTAGCGAGTTCCACAGAAAGGTACAGTCTAACTTCACCTGTGTCTAGGACACCACCCTCTTCTTGTTTTTCTCCTCCCATTGCTCCTTTCAAGTCTCTTTTGCTGGTTTCTCATCTACCTAAAGACCAGTGGTTTGTCACACACACACCCCTTTTTTTTTTTGGAGATAGGGTCTTGCTCTGTTGCCTATACTGGAATACAGTGGCACTATCATGGCTCACTGCAGCCTCAACCTCCTGGGCTCAAGTGATCCTCCCACTTCAGCCTCTCTAGTAGCTAGAACTAAAGGCATGCAACACCACACCTAGCTAATTTTTAAAAAAGAATTTTTGTGGGAGGCCGAGGCGGGTGGATCACTTGAGGTCAGGAGTTCAAGACCAGCCCGGCCAACATGGTGAAACCCCATCTCTACTAAAAATACAAAAATTAGCTGGGCATGGTGGTGGGTGCCTGTAATCCCAGCTACTTGGGAGGCTGAGGCACGAGACTTGCTTGAACCCGGGAGGCAAGAGGTTGCAGTGAGTTGAGATCACACCACTGTACTCCAGCCTGGGCAACAGAGTGAGACTCTGTCTCAAAAAAAAAAAAATTGTAGAAATGGTGTCTCACATTGCCCAGGCTGGTTTCCACCTCCCGGGCTCAAGCGATCCTCCTACCTTGGCATCTCAAAGTACTGGGATCACAGGCATGAGTCACTGTGCCTGAGCGGTTTGTCTCCTTATTAGGGCCCTATCCCCCTTCACAGAGTCATGTTTGTAAATAAAGTGAAATGTACAGGATTACAAACCGAACCAATTACAGTCGATCCTCAGTATTTGTAGATTATTTGCAAATTTGCATCCTTGCTAAAATGTATTCATACCCGGAAAACGAAGGCAGTGCTTTTGTGGTGTTTTGGAGAGCAATGCTTCCACACAGAGCTGCAACACGCTGAAGACCTGATGTGCATAGTTCAGCTGGGCTCCTCTTGTTTCAGCTCAAACACTGGAAACAAGTGTCCCTTTCTTGGTTTGTTTAGTGCCACGTTTTTCTTTTCTTTTCTTTTTTTTTTTAATAAGAGTCTCGCTCTGTTGCTCAAGCTGGAGTGCAATGGCATCATCCTGGCTCACTGCAACCTCTGCCTCCTGAGCTCACGCGATTCTCCTGTCTCAGCCTCCCAAGTAGTTGGGATTACAGGCGTGCGCCACCAGTCCTAGCTAATTTTTAAATTTTTATTTATTTTATTATTTTTTGAGATGGAGTCTCTCTCTGTCTCCTAGGCTGGAGTGCAGTGGGGCGATCTTGGCTCACTGCAACCTCTGCCTCCCGGGTTCAAGTGATTCTACTGCCTCAGCTTCCCAAGCAGCTGGGACTACAGGCGCCCGCCACCACGCCCGGCTAATTTTCGTTTTTTTTAGTAGAGACGGGGTTTCACCATATTGGCCAGGCTGGTCTCGAACTCCTCACCTTGTGATCCGTCCACCTAGGCCTCCCAAAGTGCTGAGATTACAGGCGTGAGTCACCGCGCCCGGCCTAATTTTTTTTCTTTTTTTTGAGACAAGAGTCTGTAGCCCAGGCTGGAGTACAGTGGCGCGATCTCGGCTCACTGCAAGCTCCACCTCCTAGGTTCACGCCATCCTCCTGCCTCAGCCTCCCGAGTAGCTGGGACTACAGGCGCACGCCGCCACGCCCGGCTATTGTTTTGTATTTTTAGTAGAGACGGGGTTTCACCATGTTAGCCAGGATGGTCTCGATCTCCTGACCTTGTGATCCGCCTGCCTCGGCCTCCCAAAGTGCTGGAATTACAGGCATAAGACACCGCGCCCGGCCGCCCGGCCAATTTTTTTTTTTTTTTTTGAGACGGAGTCTCGCTCTGTCGCCCAGGCTGGATTACAGTGGCCGGATCTCAGCTCACTGCAAGCTCCGCCTCCCAGGTTTATGCCATTCTCCTGCCTCAGCCTCCCGAGTAGCTGGGACTACAGGCGCACGCCACCTCGTCCGGCTAGTTTTTTGTATTTTTTTTAGTAGAGACGGGGTTTCACCGTGCTAGCCAGGATGGTCTCGATCTCCTGACCTCGTGATCCGCCCGTCTCGGCCTCCCAAAGTGCTGGGATTACAGGCTTGAGCCACCGCGCCCGGCCAATTTTTGTATTTTTAATAGAAACGGGCGTTTCACCATGTTGGCCAGACTGGTGTCGAACTCCTGACTTCAAGTGATCCGCCCGCCTCCGCCTCCCAAAGTGCTGGGATTACAGGCGTGAGCCACTGCGCCCGAATCCTATCGGAAATTTTTAAGTCTCAGGCGTTTGCCAGCGGCACGCCAGAGAGTATAGCCTGCACCGAGGCCCAGAAACCAAAGAGCGAGCTCATTCCGGGATTGGAGAGGAGTGTGAGCGGAGGGAAGCAGAGGGATCAGAGAGAGGAGGGGCAGGACCCACGCATTCGGCCCTTTGCATACAGCCTCATTCAACTAGGAACTTCTCCTGCAAATCAAGCAAAACTTCCCGGAGGAAGTGGTGCCCAAGCTGCGCTCTGATTCTCGTTTAGAAGCTGACCAGACAAAGAGAGGTGGGCGGTCCTGGCAGGGGGAGGGACTCGGCAAAAACCAAGTACCTTGAGAGGGGTTGATGGGTTTTAAAAACTTTGAATGATTATGTCAAAGGCTAGGGATTTAATGTGTTGACTGCGGACTCCTATTCCTCACTTGCTTGGGGACCCCAGCGATGCCATTCCTCTCTCTGGGCCTCTCACTGATTCAGTTTTTCTCCCAGGTAATGAGCACAAGCTAACCCTAACCCTTTTTCCTCGAGACTCCCCCCGGGTTGGGAGGATCCACCGAGTGGACTAGGCGTGATCGTTCCTTTGAGCCAATCGTTGGTGCCCGAAGCCCCGCCTTCTTCTCCACCCGTGGGCCAATTGTCGTGTTCTCCTTGAGACCGGCCGCTTGGCGAGGGTGAAAGGCCGCGTGACGTCACTTCCGGATAAACCAATGGCAGCGATTAAGAGGCGGGTCGTTTTGGTGATGGACAGTTGTTTCAAGACGCCCCTTTAGCGCGGGGCTCCCCGGGAAGCTTTGAGGCGGTGCTGGGGGTAAAGGGGCGGGCATTCCTCGTGGATTTTGCCCAATCACCAGTCGCGCTTCTTGCAATAGACGGGCAGTTTTCCCCATCTCGGGTCGACTTGAGGGGGCGGGATTCTGGACGCCAGTGTTGGCAAACCCCTGACCTATGATGGACGTATTCTTCAGCCAATTATCAGACGGTATTCTCAGACGGGCCGCCTCCATTGCCAATGAAATCTTCCAGCGGGGTCGCGGTAGGCGGGCCGTGGACCCTCTGGTATAAGGCGGTCCCGGGGGAGTGAGGAGAAAGGGGGGGTCTTGGCGGCTGGAGGAGGAGTAGTTGCGGGTGAAGATGGCGGCAGCCGAGGCCGCGAACTGCATCATGGAGGTGAGCGCTTGGAGCGCCGCCGTGGGCGGGGGGCGGCTTTGGGTCGATGTTTCACGCCTCTGTGGTGGGGAAAGGGCTCTAAGTTGGCGACATGGGGTTGGAGGTCCCCCGCCGCACACGGGGGCGCCGCACGCTCCACATCCGGGGATATCGTTTGAGGTGACGGCTCCCTAGCTTTCAAGGGCTTTCGGCATCCGGCGTAGCGGAGGGTCTTGTGCCCCCTCCCACGTGGAGGAGGGCTGGGGGCGCTTCCGGCCAGGCCCCCACGTGGCCGCGGCGCGGTGGGTGGGGAGGGGGTGTGCCGAGTCCGGTGGCCCGGCGGGCTCCACGTGCGGGACAAAGGCCCCGCCCCCGGCCGGGGAGGGGCGCCCGGGGGGGCGGGGAGGGGGTCCGACCCTCCTGAGGCCCCCAGCCCTCCTACCCAGGGACCCGGGCACACGTCGTGGGGTGGGATCGACCTGGGGCCCTCCACGGTGTAGAGAGTCTTTTGGGAGGAGCAGTGCCTTTTACAACCTCCTTCCGAGCTCCAGGGGCATCTATTGGGATATCGGCCCTGGATTTGTGCGTTCTGTATTAGGGACTGGAGGAAAACCAAGAATGGGGCCCCCCTGACCCCATTTCCCCTCCTAGAGTTCTCCCCCTCACCCAGGGCTTTAGGTGTTGGGGGATGGGGCATGCCCCTGTGACCTCCCTCTGGGTGGTGGTGGGGCATCTAGATGGAGATTTTCCCACTAATAGGCGCCGTGCACCCCCTTGTGGCCATTTCTGGGTGTGTGGGAGGGACATCTTTTTCATGGGGCGTGTCCTGAAGCCCACCTCCCGTCGGATTTCTTCCTTGCGGGCGGAGGGAGGAGGGTACGTCCGCTGGGAAGGAGTTGTGGGAAATACGTAGGCTGAGAGCTTTACCCTCTGCTGGAGCGCTTTATCTCTCCTGGGCCTTTGTGAGGGCGGGAGATGACCTCCCCCTTCCTGAAGCCCTGTGTAGGGGTCCTGAGCCCCGGGGTCCTGAGGGTGGGTGCCTGAAATGGTTTCAAGTGAGGTTTGGTTCTCGTGCAGCCATGTGGGGGAGGTTTCAGTCTTGCGTTTCAAGCCCTCGGGCTGGGGTTGTCTGGCGGTAGTTTTCAGTGGTGGTGATAAATGGGCCCCAGCGGGAAACCCCCGCAGCACCTTTCTTATAGGCATCCCCGCTGGCTTGGGAGAGCTGGGGGGAGGGTGTTTGGAGCCTAGTAGGTCATGGCCAGTGACGTGGCCCTTCTTGGAGTGGTCACATCTGGAAGAGATGTAATCTGATGGGGCCTCTGTCCTTCCACCCCTTTACCCATGGCATTGACTGGGGGGGCAGGTCAGCTGTAAGCTGTCAGGATGCAGCTCCCAGGGGTCACTGTAATGACTTCGCACCCTCTTGGCTGTCTCCTGCACCTGGGGCTCTGTGGGCGGAGGAAATAACTTTCCCAGAGGTGGCCTCAGGCTTGGCCGCATCTGGAAGTCTTCAGGGCCTGGGATGGGTGTCTGAAATGGGGGCGATGGGCTGACTCCCCAAGCTACTTTTTTTTTTTTTTTTTTTGAGACAGAGTCTTAATCTGTCACCCAGGCTGGAGTGCAATGGCTTGATCTCGGCTCATTGCAACCTCCGCTTCCTGGGTTCAAGCGATTCTCCTGCCTCAGCCTCTTGAATAGCTGGGATTACAGGCACCCACCACCAGGCCCAGCTAATTTTTGTATTTTTAGTAGAGATGGGGATTCACCATGTTGATCAGGCTGGTCTCAAACTCCTGACCTAAGGTGACCCACCCGCCTCTGCCTCCCAAACTGCTGGGGTTACAGGTGTGAGCCACCGCGCCCCCAAGCCACTTTCTGGAGCCCACTCATTCTTAAGAGGGTCCAGGAGCTGCCCATCCTCCATGGGACCCTACCTTCGTGGGCAGAGGGTCATAAGGGAGCGGGTTGGTTCCAGCTGGTTTTGTTTGGGGCTCCTGAGTCCAAGGCAGGAGCTGGGGGCTGGGGTACTAGCTCTGGGGAAGTGCCCGTGTGCCACACCTCTATTCTGGAATCCTCTCAGACATGAGACTGGTTTGGAGAGGTGGCAGATGCCCTGTGGGCATACCCTGCCAGCCTCGTTCCCTCCTGCTATTCATGGCACCCTGGGATAGGGGTGTGTGTGTCAGGAAGTGTCACCTAATCTGGGGGAGATTAGGTGATGAGAGGGAGCGACAGCTGGCGGTGGTGGGTGCCAGTTCCCCTGGCCTGGATGGGGGAGGTGTGTGGTCAGCTGCCTGGCCAGAGAGGGGCAACATGGGGGCAGGCCACCATCTCTCCAGCCACAGCTAGGATAGGAGACCCCCTTTCTTCTCCCCTCACTTTTCCCATCCCTTTCTTAAACACCCCACCTCATTACTTGCCCTCTTTGCCACCACTCCCCACCAAGAAGGAGAATTGCTGGAAACCCCCCCACCCCCAACCCCCGCCAGAGCCCAGGTCCCCGCACCCAGCCCTCCCGCAGCCACTCCCAGTAGCTAATCCTTTCTCCCTGTTACTCTCTCCTAGAATTTTGTAGCCACCTTGGCTAATGGGATGAGCCTCCAGCCGCCTCTTGAAGAAGTAAATATCCTTTTGTGAGACCCCTTCCCACCCCGACTTCCACATCAATATATTTTGCCACACATCTGGCCCTTTCTTGAGGTCTAACCATACCCCTCTTGCTTCAAACCAGTTTACTCCAGGACCCCAAACACTTAGTAGCAACCCCTCCAGGTTCACAGCCCCCGCTGGCCTCCCCCAGTATCTCGGCTACTTCCTTAACTCCACCTCCAACCCCCCTTTGCCCTTCCCTGTGTCTACCCGTTTTCCTTCCCCTCCACTCCCCGGCTGTGGGCTGGGCTGAAAACGAGGGCAGAGAGACTGGAGAGATGGTAGGCATGGCTGAGGTATCGGGGTGCTCCCCTGGATGGTGCTCTGTGGGGGTCTTGGAAGTGGAAAATGGGGTTGTTAGGTTTTGGGGTTCTTGGGGGGCAAGATGGCAGGCGGGGGCTGTAGGGTTGTAATGGTATGATTATGGGGGGTTCTATACTACTATTCAGGGAAAAGTAGGGACCTGGAGGTTTAAGAGACTGTGGGGAGCCCCCAGATCTGACCCATGATCCCATCGGCCCCCTCCCAGGTGTCCTGTGGCCAGGCGGAAAGCAGCGAGAAGCCCAATGCTGAGGACATGACATCCAAAGATTACTACTTTGACTCCTACGCACACTTTGGCATCCACGAGGTCAGTGGGGACAGCCCCCAAGGCCCCAATCTTAAAGGGGTTAAATGTTGGGGAAGGGGTGGAACCTGTTTTCCCACGCATGCGCACTGCTTCCCCTGGCAGCAGGCCGCCCCTCTGCCCCTCTGCTGCGCATCCCTTAGGGTCGCCTCGCCAAGTCGTTGCCTTGGAGACCGAGGTTAGCCTGAATCTCTGCAGGGGCCTCTCACCGATGGCTGGGGTAGGAGCGCGCATGCGTGCTTGGGGCCTTAGGCAGAGGTCGGTCAGGGCCCACGGTCTCTGCCGCCCTCTAGTGACTGGCGGTGGGACTGCACCTGGCTGCTCCCGGCCTGACAGCTTCTGCACCCTTGAGATCTGACTGAAGACTGAAATCCCAGAACGAAGCAGGAGTGGCATTCTAAGGAATTTTCTTTTCCCCCTGAGGCCTTTTTCATAAAATTATGCCAAAATATGCATAAAATTGCCATTTTTCATTTTTAGAGACAGGGTCTCGCTCTGTCGCCCAGGTTAGAGCACACTGGTACAATCGTGGCTCACTGCAGCCTCGACCTCCCCAGCTCAGGTGTTCCCCCCACTTCCGCTTTCGGAGTAGCTGGCACCACAGGCGTGCGCCACCACTCCCAGCTGATTTTCTTATTTTTCTTTAGAGATAGTCTTGCCTTGTTGCCCAGGCTGGTCTCAAACTCTTGGGCTCAAGTGATCCTCCAGCTTTGGCATCCTGAGGTGCTGGGATTACAGGCATGAGCCTCTGCCCCCAGTCTGAGGACTTGTAAAAGCCAAGGGCGCTGGTTCTTAGGTGGCAGTGGTGAAGTCTGGCCAAGATGGGAGTTTAGTTATCTGATTTTTTAAAAAGGGAAACTGGCTGGGCACGGTGGCTCACGCCTGTAATCACAGCACTTTAGGGGGCCGAGGTGGGTGGATCACCTGAGGTCAGGAGTTCAAGACCAGCCTGGGCAATATGGTGAAATCCCATCTCTGTGAAAAATACAAAAATTAGCCAGGCATGGCGGTGTGTGCCTGTAATCGAAACTACTCGGGAGGCTGAGGCAGGAGAATCGCTCGAACCCAGGAGGCAGAGGTTGCAGTGAGCTGAGATTGCCCCACTGCACTCCAGCCTGGGCAACAGAGTGAGATTCCGTCTCAAAAAATAAAATAAAATAAAATAAAAATAAATAACTGAATAAATAAAAAAGGGAAACTGAGGTGCATGGAAGGAAGCAAGAGGACCGAGTTCCGGCCCTCCGAGCTCTCAGGACACACTGTTCTTCAGCGGGAAATGTGGGGCCCCTCACGGCGTCTCTGTGCCGTTCTTCCCTCAGGAGATGTTGAAGGACGAGGTGCGTACCCTCACGTACCGCAACTCCATGTTTCACAACCGGCACCTCTTCAAGGACAAGGTGGTGCTGGACGTCGGCTCGGGCACTGGCATCCTCTGCATGTTCGCCGCCAAGGCCGGGGCCCGCAAGGTCATTGGGGTGAGTCTCCGGGGCTTCCAGGCAGGGCCAGGCCTGGGGAATGGAGGGGGCCCATCAGGGCTCAGGGATGGGACGGAGGGGATGGGGACAGGGGATAGGTCTCACTCTCCCTTCTTTCTGGGCCCTCAGATCGAGTGTTCCAGTATCTCTGATTATGCGGTGAAGATCGTCAAAGCCAACAAGTTAGACCACGGTGAGCCCAGAAAGAGGATGGGTTTGTGGGAGTGGAGGGGGTGATGCGCCGCTTCCCCAGGGCCCTCTGAAGAGCAGTGGGGTCTACGGATGGCCACAGATTCAGCGGCTCCCCACCCATGGTCTTCTGGGCTGCCGGCCACCTGAGAATCTGAGTGTCAAAATCACAAGCTTAGCACCTCCGTCTTAAAATTAGGGCAAGAAGCACTCTCTAGTTTCTTTTTTTTTTTTTTTTTTTTTTGAGACAGAGTCT